GATTGCAAACCCCTAGTTGCTATTGACGAAGCTTAAAAGATATAAAATACCAAAAAGCAAGCATAATTTGAGTAGTCATTTTTGGGGTCAAGTTTTTTCTTGTTTTTTAACAGATTTTTTTTTTTTTTTTTTTTTAAGGTGACCTCTTGGTCGATTCTCTTTATTCAGTTATTAGTCAAGTTTTACTGTATGCTAAGCTCCTTACGATACCCGTACAGTATACATATTTTGGAGAGTACAAACTAGCCACATGTACAACTTTTGATTGCCTATTTAAGTAGTCTGCTTATTACTAAGTTCTACACTAGATGCCATACCTATAACCCAACTAGGGAGTTATCTATTTAAACCCTCTGCGCCATGTTTTTTAACAGATTTTTCAGGATATTTGGTATCTAAACTAAAAGATTTATTCTAGAAGCAAGTAGTAGAATAGCTCTTGCTAAAATAGTATAATCTTGTAGAACTAACTATACAACTATAAAACTTACAGAAGAACCTTATACACTTTGTTGACCTCCACTTTTTTTTAGGAAAAATTTTGTAAAAAGTAGACAATTCAGCTTATCTCCTCCAAAAGATTATCATATTATTTATTTACCAAATTGGGTAGCTTTGTTTACTTTTTATTCTTGTCACAACAAACATATGAATATATATAGATTAATGGACCTGTGATTACATGCCTCAAATGTAGCAACCTGAACAAACAATGTTTTGAGCTCAATGGTATGATTTTCTAATTTCTTTATGATGCTGATATCAAAGAAGCTTTTTTTTTTTTTGTTTTTTTTTTAGATTTTAAGTTTAGATATACTATATATATAAATTAGTATAAAGAATAGTTTAGATAGTAGTATATAATTTTTAAAAAATCTAATACAGGCTTATAATTGTGACTATTTAGTATGGGTGAAAAATTACATATTTAGTTTAGTTTTTCTCATTTTACCTTTACCCTTCTCTTCTTTTATTTGTTTTTTTCATATATTCACCTATACCTCTGTATTTTATTATAAAATTTTTTTCTTTCACTTTCTTATAAGAAGATATTATCAGATTAATGATATTCTATTATAGAGTAGTGGTCAAATAAGCCTCTGATAAAGTATTATCTTAATTGATTGTATCTTACTGATATAGCATAGTCACCTGTAAGTATGTATAGATAATTGGTTAGGTTATATAAGGCAACTACAGAATGTCAAACTTATAGTTTTATTGTTTGAAGACTTATTCACTGGGTGCTTGCTTGAATAAACAGTAGTATTGGTATAATCTGCCAAAGTGAAGCAAAAAAAATTAATATATTTACTATAGTTTACTTTTAAATGCTTTCTGATAATTCTTTAACCAATATAACAAAAACTAAATTACAAAAACATATTATAAAAAGTCTAAGTTAAATACTATTCTTAATAAAAAAGTTGATATGACTTAATAGGCAAATCGTGAGTCACCTAAACAAATATTTTTTTTTTTATATGTAAATTTTACTATAAGCCTGAATATACAGCACTTCTATCTAAAACTTTTTTTTTACTAAGTAAATCTCTTTTGGGCTTGTAACAAAAGTTGTAAAGCTCATCAATATACATCTAATGGTAGTAAGAATGTTAAAATTGGCCTAGTAGTTCTTGAGAAATCTTTAAAAAACTTCTTTCTTACATAAAGAAATTTTATATGTGAGAAAAAAGTTTTTTAAAGATTTCTCAAGAATCACCAAACTAATTTTAATGTTCTTACTACTATTAGATGCATCTTGATGAGCTTTACAACTTTTATTACAAGCCCAAGAGAGATTTACTTAGTAAAAAAAAAGTTTTAGATAGAAGCGCTGCATATTCAGGCTTATAGTAAAATTTATATATAAAAAAAAATATTTGTTTAGGTGACTTGTGATTTGCCTATTAAATAGTTTTTTTTAGAATTAAACTTGGTTTCTTGTTTTAGTAAACTTCTAAGATATTTGATATCCAAACTAGAAAATTTATTCTAAAAATCAGTTTTATCTTTAAATAGTTACTATTAACAAAATTTAAAAGATATGAAATACTAAAAAGTGGGTATAACTTAAGTAGTTTTTTTAAAATCAAATTTTTCTATTGTTACAAAATAAACTTATAATTTTATACTAATAATCTTGTAGAACAATACTTTATAATTTATAGTTTATATTTTAAATATAATTTTATTAAATTATATTAGAATTTATATTGTATTTAGAATAGTTAGAATAATAGAATATATACCACTATGTGCTATATGCTACTATATACTATATACTAGTATATGCTACCTGCTATATGGTTGTATACTAGTATATACTACTTGCCATATGGTTGTATGCCAGTATATGCCACTACACAATTATATTAGTATATCTCATATTGTTGTATATCAATGTATATTAGTATAATATATATAGTTATATCTTAGTATATGCTAGTGTATCCCACATGGTTATATGCCATTATATACCAACCTAACAGATATTTAAAGGAAGGCTTTTTTCCCTTATCTTAAGAGGCATTAGACAAGTAGCTAATGAATATTAGATATTAGGCAATAATATAAATACTGATATATTAAATAGAAACAGATAAATAATACCTTTAGAATATATGTTCTTTAAATATTCTTGTAATATTCTCTTTGTTCTAATGATCTTGTAATATCTTTATTGTCTCTAAAACAAGTAAATAAATTCTTCTGCTAAAACCCTCTCTTTGATCCTTCTTTACAAGTACTGCTATAATACTATCATTAGTAGACTTTTTAAAATATTTGATATTCAAACCAAAAGGTTTATTTTTGAAGCAAGTAGTAGTTATACCCTCACTAAAATAATATAAGCTTAAAAAATCAACTATATAATTATAAATCTTATAGAAAAACCTTATATATTCTTGTTGACCTTTTACTTTTTTAAAAAAAAATTTGTAAAAAGTAAGCAATTTAGTTTATTACTTTTGAACAATCAATATATTATTTACTAAAATAGTTAGTATTGTTTATATCTATTTCATTACAACAAATATATAAAAATATATAGACTACAAATATATAAATTATATATTTTAAATATGATAACAAAATAATTAATATCTTGTAATCTTAATGCAGATTTTTAATCTTTCTAAAATGCTTACATCAAAGAAGATATTTTTTCTATATAGTTTTTATTTAGATATACTAATTATATAAATTAAAATAGAGACTAGTTTAGATAATAGTATATAATTTTTATCAAGCCTAATATAGACTTATAATTGTAAGGAAAATATCATTTATCACCTGATTTTTTTACTTAAGAATCTATTCCCTCCCCCTATCTGATACTAATTAAATTATATAAAAAATAGCATAGCAGGCTTTTATTCTAATTGACTAATTTTTGTAGATTATTTGTTAACATAATAAAATTCTGATTAGCTAATAAAAAATGAGTTCGAAGAAAAAAATTTTAGAAATTATTAAACAAAAAAATATATTTAAATTATAAATTTAAATTTACAATCACAATTTTAACTCATTGATCTTTATATTTATTGTTAAATACATATCTGGTTAAATTTAATAAAAAAAGGTCTTCAAACTTAAATATATATAAAGATAATCTTTAATAACAAAATTGCTTCCTAATTAATATATAGTTTAATAATGAGATAAGGAATAAATAATTATAAGTAAATTAAAAAAACTATTAACTATCAATAAAGGTAATATATATACATAAAGAGTATAAACAGTATAAAACCCAAAACTAATTATAGAACATAATGGGTAATTGTATATATTCTATATATATTCTATATCTAATATATTGTAGCTTTTAGAAACTTTGTCGAATAACCTATATTAAATAAAAAATATTAAAAAAACTAACTGTAAATATTGTTGTTTGAATTACTATTTTCAAGTTTTTTTTTTAAAAAAAGCTTATACTTATTAGTTAAAGTACAATTTATCTTGCTAATTGCTGACTTACTTTAACTTATAAGACAAAAAGTGTACTCCATTGCTAACTTCTGGATTAATTAACCATTCTCTAGATTAATTTAATATGTTATAGAGTCTGAAGTATAGTTTCAAAATTTGTATGCCATATCTTTTGATAATATGTTTTCATGACTACCAATTTATTTAAAGTTAGATGGTATATACTATATAATATGTAATGATATATTAAGTGATTGACCAATCAGAATTAAAACCTGCTATGCTATAAAAAATATAATAGTAATTTTAAATATATAAATATACCACAGTCATCCCCCTCTATAATCACCTCCTATATAATCACAAACTCTATATAATTACATAAATTTATGATACAAAATAACCTCCTATACAATCACATTAAACTTATAATCACTATCACATATTTATTTATTTTTATAGATTTTTTTAATAATAAATTCCCTTTATATAATCACACTTTGAATCAGTGTTTATTTTTTACGTCGCAAAAGTGTGCGCATATGTACGGATCTAATCAAATTGCTTTATTTAAAATTTTGATTGGATCCGCACATGTGTGCACATTTTTGTGTACGTGAAAATAAACACTGCTTCGAATACAGATATATTTATATGCACGAAGTTTATTTCTAAAAACTATAATATATTAACTTGCAATTTTGTCATAAACATCTCAAACATGTTATATATAAGATACAACTCTAATTTGTTACTATAAGTTATAGCCATAACTCATTATAGATATAGCGGGTTATAGCAAATTACAAAGTTATATCAGCATTCTAGTCAATATACAAAAAACTAAATACAAATGCCAGAATTAGTTTCATTAACGAATATTTATCTGACAAACTCTTGTGATCATGAATTTATTTATTTCTTTTATTTTTTCATGCATTATGAAATAAGCACGTTTACTCAAATTAAAACTTAGCCTGTCAATTATACATTATTTGGCAAATTTTTGCTGAATAATATATACAAATCAGGCACTTATATGCGAATAATAAATGCTATCAATATAATGAGAGTATATCATAATGAAGCTACATAAATGATGGCTAGCACAAGTAAAATGATATTCAATAGGGATTACCTGATTGCTGCCAAATTTAACCCTATTGGTATCCTATTGCCTACAGATTTTGGCGCAAAAGGAGGACAATAGGGTTACCTTATTATTACCAGATTGATTTCATATTGAATAAAGTTTTTACTGATTTAAACTATTTAATTACTATTTGTTAAATATTTTATAATCTGATAACCCTATTGACATCTTTTTGCACCAAAATCCGTAGGCAATAGGATACTAATAGGGTTAAATTTGGCAGCAATCAGGTAATTCTTATTGAATATCATTTTACTTGTGTAGGGTTAATAAAAGTAAACAATATTTAAAAACAGCCAAGAAAACCAGACTTCGAGCTTAACTTTATTACTTACCAGACATGACTCCTCCCTGAATCATTAACTAATAAAAACTAGTCACATATGTCATATATTGGAATGGAATTATTGAATTATTGTAGCTATAGAATCTACTTAGCTTAATAGAATTCTAAATGTAACCAAGTTGATACAAATTTAAAATCTAAAAACTAGTTAATTCGAACTTTGATACTGTAATAGATTGAACCCCTATTATTTCTTTAATACTCATAATGGTTCGAGAAGCGTCTATTATTCCTTCAATGCTCATAATGGTTCAAGAAGCGTCTATTATGTAGTCCTTTTTGCAAGTAATGTTAAATGCAATTGCAAAAATGCGTGTTATAAAAATCATTTTAAAAAAAGAAATTTGCCTTGTAGTACATAGTAATTGTCATCCTAATATATAACCATAAATGTAAAAATTTATATAACACTTTTAATTTGTGACATGCTAGCATAATAGTGATCTGTGAACGATCCTAATTATAAAAAAAAAAGAAAAAAATTAATAAAGTAATAAATTAGAGAAATTCTATTTTAACCATGTTATTAAAGTCATCTAATATTGTTAATTATAGCCATGTGACTATATTAGAGATTGTACGTATCTAGAGATGGCATCATACATCTTATTACTGCATGGTGCTTAGTCATCACATATTATAACTTACGTAAATATTAATATCTGATATAATTTTTATAAGATTAATAATGTAACAATTAAGCACTATGCAGTGATAAGGTGCATGATGCCCATCTATTGTACTCATTGAACAAATCTTTACCTGGTATTATTGAATTATCTGATTATTCTGATAATTTATTATGTAATAACAATTCCTATTCGGGTATGTACAATCTCTAGACCGTACGTATGTACGTACGTATATGCGTATTTATAGTTTATCGGATGATTTTAACCTTGATAAAATAGAATCCTTAAAATAATTCTTAAATTTAATTGTAATTTTATATTAAACAAACTTTTTTAAATCCAGGTTTTGATTGAGATACAAGTGTTTGGTCTGGTAATATATGAAAAAAGAGCTCTGTCTCATCTGCATTGAACATATTGTTCAAGGTATATTTTTCAATTAATTCATACAGTTTTTGTCTATATTCTGAAAGCAAAGACAATGGTGCACTTTTTGCTTCTCCATGTAACCAAAAATTCTTAAGATTATTGTGCCGTTTAAACTTATAAATTCATCCATTTGAAAATTTCAAAACATCATCTTCTAAATTCAAGGCTTTTGCAAAATTGACTACCTTTTCTTTAATCATTAACTCCGTTAGGATCATATCTTCAGTGGTAACTTGTTCAACCCAGAGGCACATAGCTTGATTTAATAAAGGATATTTTACTTGTTTACGTCGAAAAATCGTAAAATTTAACTGATTATCCATAACAGCTAACCATTTTGATTTATCATTTAAAATTTTAGAAATCGTAGACCGATCTAAATTTAAGCTAGAATTTTGGAAATTGAAATGTTTTGCAATATCTATTTGTTTTTTATTAGGATTTTTTTGACTATACTCGCATATTTCTCGCTTTAAAGACTCACTAACAGTTGTTCTTGTTCTTTTTTGTAACAAATTTTTAGACATTTTGCAAAATTTCACAAGTATGATTAGATACAATCATTTAGTAGAATAAAAGGTATTTGAAACCGATGTTTCTATTATTTTATTAAACAGTTGATTTTTATATTTAAATACAATAACAAAAAATCTTATCTGCCGATCTTTGAACATATCTATAACTTTTAGATTCGAAATTTAAAAAAAAATATTTGGTATCATTCATATGCATAAAGCTCTTAGGATAGTAATAGCTTATCAATACTTAATTCACAACATTCTTGGCCTCCAACATGTTTTTATATTTTATTATTAAACCTCATTATTCAGTGAAATATTTTAATATGTAATATATATATGCAGAGGCGATTCAGATCAAATTACAAATTTTATGCAAGAAAAAATGGTTTAGATCTCAAGTTCACATGATCAGTGTAAAAAGACTTGAACTTATAAATAAGAATATTCTTGTAATATTCTCTTTGTTCTAATGATCTTGTAATATCTTTATTGTCTCTAAAACAAGTAAATAAATTCT